AACCCCAGGCGTCCAGGCTTCATCCCCCAATTCAAAGACCGACGATACAGCTTCCTCTTGCTGTCCCTGGCATCATCTCCGCCCGCTACGCTTGACAAGAGGCTTGGCAATAACAAACCGAGATGCCGACCGCTCAGCTCGGCGCAACACGTGCCTCTTCTGCCCAAGATGAGCCGTGAAGTTGCATCCTGCTTCGTTCGACCCAAGACACCGTCACCGTACGCCGTCATGATGTCGGCCCATCCGCCTGCCTGACGGCCAATCGCGTGTTGATGTTGTGGCCCGGGCGACGGAATCCTACCTAACGCGTTGGTCGAAAGTTCCTCAGCTAGGATTGCAACGCGGCGCAATCTGCACCTTCTCATCCCGGCTATTACGGTGCTTGGCCCGCGAATGCGAGGATCCGCGAACCAACAGAAGTATGCTGTCATGCAGTGGGAACATGGCTCTGGGACTGGACGGACTACAGCTTCGGCGGGGGTGATCCCTCCCAGAAAATCAATTGACATGGGATGACTTTTTTCTTCTGCGATGCTGCAGGAGGGTATATAAGCTCTCGAGCTGCAGCAAGCTTTCCCCGAGCTTGGATCTTCTGTTCACGCTTCACCGTCTCTGTCCCGACTCCCATTGACAGCGGATCAACATGATGGCAAAGCTCAGCCCCCTCGCAGTCCTGGCTGCCTCGCTGTCCCTCGTGTCGGCGCAGACCTACCAGCGACTCGGCACCTGCCCTGATCTCGGCTGCGTCCTCCCGCCCGACCAGTCCGATTTCCTGCCCGGCCAGCTCTTTGACCTCCGTGTCGAGGTCCATGCGCCTGTCAACGGCTCCGAGGCCTTCAACAACGGTGTCCCCGACGAGGCCTTCTCCGTCAGCATCTCCAAGGAGGGCGGCGCCGCCAAGGGCCTGACCGAGTTCTTCGGCCTCGACGAGCCTGAGCTCGAGAAGTGGTCTTTCGGTTGGTACGAGGACCTCTTCGCCGAGGACGCGAAGCAGAAAAGCGTGGTGAACGTGGCTTCCAAGATCTGGCGCCACATCGCCTTGTACGAGCCCGGCAACTACGTGGTTACCCTCAAGTACTACGATGGCAAGACGACCACCGCCAACTGGGTTGTGCGACCCCTGGCGACTGAGAAGAAGGCTAAGAACGTCATCTTCTTCATCGGTGAGTAGATTGATTGCAAATGACTTGATATCGTACTAAACAATGGCTTTATAGGTGACGGTATGACTACCAACATGGTCACTGCCGCCCGTCTTCTCGGCCACAAGAGCATCAACGGAAAGTACCAGTCCAGCCTGGCTCTCGACAAGTTCCCCGTCATTGGTCACCAGATGACGCACTCCATCGACAGCTACATCACCGACTCTGCCAACTCCGCGTCTGCTCTGTATTCTGGCCACAAGAGCACCGTCAACGCCATGGGCGTCTACGCTGACTCTTCCCCGGACGCTTTCGACGACCCCAAGGTTGAGACCATTGTCGAGCTCATCCACCGAATCTGGGGCTCTGCCTGGGGTGCTGTTTCCACCGCTTTCATCGCCGACGCCACTCCAATTGCCTTGACCGCCCACACTCGCTCTCGCAGCTTGTACGGTCCTCTCATCGACCAGGCGCTCAACGGCATCACGAACTACACCTGGACCAAGATGGAGGGTCCCGACGTCTACTTTGGAGGCGGTGCTGAGCAATTCTACGCCGGCAAGGGCTCCTACGAGGGCAAGGACTACTACGAGGAGTTCGCCAAGAAGGGTTACACTGTCGCTCTTAACAAGACCTCCCTCGAGGCCGCCGACTCCAAGCAGAAGACTCTCGGTATCTTCACCCAGTCCAACCTTCCCGTCTGGCTCGACCGCAACGTTCTCACCGAGAACCTGGCCAAGCTTACGAACGATCCTACTGGTAACAAGAGTGCTGCTCTCGATATCCCCGGCTTGAAGGAAATGACCCTCAAGGCTGTTGATATTCTCCACAACCGCGGCGGAGAGGATGGTTTCTTCCTCATGTCTGAGGCCGCTTCCATCGATAAGCAGATGCACTCTCTTGACTACGACCGTGCCCTTGGTGACCTTCTTGAGCTTGACGACACTGTCAAGGCTACCATCGAGAAGCTCGAGGAGCTCGGAATCCTCGAGGAGACCCTGGTCGTTGTGTCCTCTGACCACGGCCACGGCTTTGAGTAAGTCAAATCCTACCACTCTTCAAAGATCAACACTAACAGAAGACAGCGTTTTCGGAAGCGCCGACACCAAGTACCTCGCCGAGCAGCAGGACGACCGCACCAAGCGCAAGGCCGTCGGCACCTACGCCCAGTCCGGTCTCTCCCAGTACACCGTCGAGCAGCCCGGCATCAGCTACAACACCGGCCCCAACTTCCCCCTCAACTGGAACCCCCGCTACGCCATCGCCGCCGGCGTCGGCGCCAGCCCCGACCGCCGCGAGGACTTCGCCCTGCACGAGTCCGCCCGCACCCCTGCCGTCGCCGCTACCAACACCTCCGACTACTACGTCAACCCCAAGGACGCCGCCGACGGCTTCGTCGTCAACGGCACCATCCCCACCAACGAGGCCCAGGGCGTCCACTCGCTCACCGACGTCGCCGTCTGGGCCCGCGGCCCCTGCCAGGAGACCTTTGGTGGTACTTACAACAACATCGACATCTTCTACAAGATGGCCAACTGCCTCGGTCTCGCTCAGCCGCGCAACGCCACTGGCTGCGGCGGTGTTCGCCGCAGGAGGGCGGTCAACCTCCACGCCTGAGTGTGACCTGGTGCAGGTATCTATGCTTGGTTGTAGATGTAGCGAGATGTAAAAGCATGGGTGGCGTTGAGAGGTCGTGTTTGGAGCGAAAAGTAGTAGACTGTTTACGAAGTATAAAGTCTTGAAAATAATGAATACACTTAATATTAAAGACGTTTCAGCCTATTGCAAAGTGACTCTGATCACGGCTCCGTAGTAGCGTGAGACCATCGTCGTCTGGACGAGACCGCCTAATTTTCCTGTGCATGTGCGGCTATATTTCCTATGTATTTGATTACTCCTACTAAACACAGAAGTAGAAGTAATGATGGTAGTAGTAATAGCGATGATAACGAGGACGAGGATGATAACGATAATAACAACGACAAGGACGACGACGACGATAACGATAATAACGAGGATGAGGGCAGCAGCAATAACAACGACGACGAGGACAGCGGGGACGATGAGGACGACGAAAGTAGTAACAACGACGGTAGTAGCGATAACGGCGATGTTAGCAACGACGATAGTAAGGCAGAGTATATTACCGCAGGGAAAGTAGTTGAACAAGCTCTGGGTACCTATTTTCAGATTCTTTCAGGGCCCACCGACGTCACTGTGGCACATAACGAACAGGAGATGGGATGAACAGTTGCTTACTAGGTAGTTTTGTGAATGATGAAGAGAGACAATCTACTTCATTGCCGCTTTTGCCCCATCTGTGACACTTTCAGACGTCTTTTACCCGTATGACTGACGAGAGTGCATTTGTTCTGGAGGTCTAGGCTCAGACCCAGCTCTTTACCTGAACTCCCGAACCCCACGCAAACCCCTTTTCTGGGGGGTAGATACGTAGAATCAGGGGAACCATTATACTTGATTGTGTTTGAAACTTCTTCACTTGAGAATACAGCTCCGCTGGGAACCGCCTCTTAGTCCCCTGAGAGGGGTCGAGGAGGGGGCCATAATCAAGCCAGGGTAAGGGGAGTTCGTCCCTGGCAGTCATTGAGTCCCTTCGTCCGGGCATTATCCTGGCGTAGGGGCTTCCAGCATCTTTTAAAGTATCAACAAGCTGTCCGATAGATTGATCGTTGCTGTCAACTGACAGATCTTTATCAAGCATCAGACGCCGTTGGCGTCATGGGTTCGGGGCTGAGGTAAGTCGGTGATGTTACTTTAGACGCGTTGAATCATAGGAGAATACTTTTCCCATCAATGACGCCTCAAGACGTTCAAGGGCAAGGTCTGTGTTGATCATTCAAGAGTTGCAAAGTTTCGTTCAGTTGCTGTGTTCATAAGGGCGTTCTGCTATGCATGCCACGTTATCCATGGATGCAACTTCGGATGCATCAATCTGCATGCCAGCACAACACCATCGATTTCCATAACGAATTCAACTACACAAGTCCACGACATTACGTCTAACATCAAAGATACGATGGTCAAGTTGGGATACCGAAGGTCGGCTATGTCATGGCGCACGTCCACCGCACCATTCACAAATGGACTGATCAACATGCCATGTTCCCACCGAAATGGTCAGTTCGCCCACAATCCCACTCTCTCCCTCTCCCAGGAAAATCAACGACTTACAAACCCGTCAAACTCGGTCTTTCTCTCCCCCATTCGTGAATTGAGTTTCCCATTGATATTGCACCGAGATCCTGCCGGGGATAGGTGGATGCGCGCAAGGGGAGACACGGGAAGGAAACTCGCCTTCCAAGCCGTTCCGGGAAAGTCGACTGACGAGAATAACATTGCAAGGTTGCATCCCGGCCAGAACATCGTACGCTGCAGCTGTCAAACAATGTAAGTATGTCGTGCATTGTTCGCTTCATGGTCTTCTGTTTCTTCCTTGTTATTTGCCCCCTCCTTGATTTATTCAAAGGCCTGGCCGCGGATCTCGTCTAAATGGCGCGAACCATCCCCGCAATGGCAAACGTGCCTGTGGCCGATCTCCCGCGTCCCGCCTCGGCGGCCGTCTTTTGACTTCATGGGAACTCCAGGTGGTAAACGTCACCTTGGAAAGAGACTTGAGGAGGCCTCTACAATCACGCACAGCGAGAAAGACAATGGCTTGAATCATGTAAAAGTTTGCGAGTTCGAATGCTATCTACGATCGACCGAAGAAATCCCTGCTTCGGCTCTGATCCATGTGTTCCTCCTATGTACAGTCCAGCCAGCCGGTCCCGATTCCAATCTACCACGACTTGTCCTATGCCTCTCCAAGATCTCGTTCCACTACCCTAGAAAACAGGGTCACCTCTCAGCAAGAACCTCCAAGATGCCCATCGCTTCCTCGTCATCGACCTCCCCCTCCTCACACCTACCCTTGAAGCAGCTCGAATGCGCCCAAACACCCACAAGCCCGTCCGTGACGTCCGCGACATTGGCAGCCCTCACGCCCCCGCCGACAATGACCTCAAAACCGAACGGCTTCGCGGCCCGCACGACCTCCTCCAAAACGGCCTTGTTGCCGGCGGCATTCCCGGGCCCGCCGGAGGTGAGCACCCCGGCAAACCCGCACTCCACGAGCTCCCTCACGCCCCGCCCGACCGTCTGCGCGCTCCCGTCCCGGATAATTTCGTCAAAAGCACGATGGAAAGAAGACGGCAGCCCCCCGGCCGCCTCCACAAGTCTCCGATTCCTCTCCACGTCAACCGCCACTGCTTCACCATCCGCAGACGCCTTCAGAACGCCAAAGACGAACCCGTCGCCGCGGTCTTTGCGCAGCACCCCGCGGAAGGTCTCGATATCCCTGACCATCTCCGCGAGCTCGTCCTCCGTGTAGATAAAGTCCGGGCCGTCGGCCGGCTTGCCGCGCGGGCGGATCATGACGCGCACGGGGACCATGAGCCACTTGGTGATGCCCTCCAGGTCCGCGAGCGAGGGCGTCGTGCCGCCTACGGGGTAGCTGCCCTTGGCGTTGAGCTCGATGCGCTGCGCGCCGATGGCCTGGGCGTGCAGCGCGGACGAGGGCGAGAAGACTGGTATCTCGAGATTGATTGGCATGGTTGTTGGTTTGAGAATCTGAGCGGCCCCCATTTGGTATGTTTGTCGAATGAGACGCTGGGTGAAAGTATTTAAAAGAGTGTTCTGGTTGGTTGGGATGAGGGGTAAAACAGACAACGGGGCAAAAAAGCAAGTGTGACCCTGTATGTAACGTTTCTGTGTAAGTCGGTAAGGTTTCCTCTGCAATATCCCATCTCTCCCGACGGGGGGCAACCACGACTTATAAAGCAAACGAAAAACAATTGGAAAACGACGGAAAACCAGTTCTCGTGTCCCAGACTCCCCCGTAAACTCCGATTTCCTTGCTTTCATGGCCTTCCCGCTCGGACAGCAATTCTTAATATCAGATCATGCCATCCGTTCCCTTGTTACGCGCCCCGTACCCACTATGGAGATCTCAAAGTCGTGCGAGTTTCCTCGGCAAGCTTACCTTAGTCATCATGCATGGGATAAGGGGTTGGACGAGCAGGACGGGCCTTGAGATGCGCGTTGTTTTTTCATCATTTTTCCGGTAGGGACAACTGAGCTTGCCGCCAAAGGTTTTGTTACTGTCCGTTCAAATTCTGTATCAAAAGGCTATGAGTGAAGGCAAAAACCAGCTAAACTTGTTCATGACTGGGCGTTATCATTGACGGAGTGCACTCCGCCACCGCATATCGATGTGGGGTATCCTTGTGTCCTTCTTATACTGTCACTTGACAGCATTATCATGATACCGAACCCAAAAGAAATTCCATCCTGCTTTGACCTCAGTCGTGTTGACCAAATCATGTGTGACCATCCCCCACCTTGGAAACCCGTGCCGCATCAGGTAATAATAATGTATTAAGCTGGCATTGTCGTCTTGGGAGAAGTATGCGTACCGGGTATCATTGCTGAAAATGATGTTGCGAAAACGAATGTTCGTACAGTGACTGCTAATTGTGGAGAGAGACGATGATAGAATGGCTACTGCACGTGATTATGAGATGCAGAGTTTGCGCCAGTGAAGCCGCGTTCGGCAGGGGAAGGGACCTCAAAGGCCATGAATTCACCCTCTGATTTGATAGCCCTCGTGTCTCCAGTCTCTTCGGTCACAGCCATAGAGGCCGCGAACCGGCGATGTTCACCTGCCGACTTGCCGTAATGATACGCTGGCTCGGGGTTTGTGATGACTCCAGGGATGTCTTGACTATACCACAACCCCTCGCCGTCGCTGAAGTAGGTCGGCGGAGAATTCTCGGGGGCATTGCCTCTCCCATCAGCGCCAAAAGGCTGAGAGACATGAGGGCCCATCGAGGTGTAGTAGGAAGTGGCGCTGACAGTAGCGGAGGAAGGGGTTTGGCTTGGGTGAAGCGAGCCAGGCGCAGTGCTGTACTGGCTTCTCAAATGGTTGCCTTCGTTGCGCGAATCCTCGTAGCTGTGCTTGAAGCTGGTTCCCTCGGGTTCTCCACGCTGATCATGTCTGTCTCGCATCGCCTGCTGGCGTGCCTGGCGTTCGACATTCTCTTCCTCATGCGTCCACTTTCTCTTGAGGGTCTGCTCGGGCCGTGCGCTGTTGCTAGAACAGCTCGACTTGGACATACCAGAAGTCGATGTTGGACTGGGTTGGCGCCCATAGTAGTCGTTCTGGGTCGTAGTTGATGACGGGGCGCGCGCATGGCTGTGACCTACGGAGCTTCCGTTGGTAGCCGACTGGAGCATGGACGAGGAAGGTTGTGAGCTGTGATAGTGAGGGCCGGAACTGCTCCTTTCGGAAGTGAAACCCGTTCTCCTGTGGCTGGAGACGTCAAACGACATTCCAGGCGAAAAGTCGGCAGTCGGCGGGCTGTATTGCTGCCTCGAGACACTGAAGCCCAGGCTGTGGCTAGGTGCGACCTGAGTTTGAATTGGGCTAAGACCGTAATAGTCCTGGGTTGGTTGAGCGAAGCGGTAGTCCGGAGCCGGCAGACAGAAGTAGCGGCCGCCGGGCTCATAGTCCTCGGAGTTGCCGCGGAAATGGGCAGGAACCTGGTCATGCGGCAGAAACATGCTCTGATTCCGTCGATGAGCCAAATTGTTTTGGAAGCGGTCGTGATAGCCCTGGTAAGGGTGTTCGAAACCAGGAGCAGGACCTCTGAACCTCAGGCTGTCTATGGTTGAGCGTTCAGCCGAAGTTGGATGTTGGTAATTGAACCCAGGGCGAGGGAAATTGTACGAGATTGAGAGGTAGGCCCTGGAATCGACGCCCATGTCGGCCTCCTCCGCTTGGTTGGCATCGGAAAAGGATATGGATGTGAGAGGCTTGCGGGTGGAGGAAACAGCTCGGTTTTCCTTATCTTCATAGATGTCGATGGCATCAGACATCTCTTCCTCCTCAGTGGTCTCACCCGTACGAGAGCTAGGCAATGTTTGGCTGTGATCAGAGATGGTCGCGTCCTTATCGGTGATATCGCCCTCGATCTCAGTCTCCTCTTCCTCTTGGTTTACTCGGGCGAGAGTCTCTTTGTGCTCACGCACATACTTGGTGGCATTGGGCGAGACGCGGCCCTTCTCGATGTTCTGGAAGTAGTGTTCAACTGTAGTCCTGTCAGCGTACTGTGCGTAACCGAAAGAAGGATGTGACCGACAGAGTCCAAGGGCGGTGTAGTTGCGCTTAGCATCATCGCGCAATGTTGATTGCATCACCACCGCCAAATCCTCCCAGCTCTTTGGAGGCAAAGGGCCGCGACCAGCGCGCTTCTGAGATTGAGGGACGATGGTACGCCAGTAGACGCGCTCCTCCGCCGGAGACCACACTTTGCCGCCCATGTCTTTGGTGCGAATGTCTTTGTGAACGGGTGAATGGTTGTTATGTTGGTGAAAAATGTATGTTGATAAGGTCGATGCTAGCGAGATCGCAGGAGACTGTGTGGCTTTTTATAGTTCGAAGGCTGAGCCGGTGACAATACCACGGATCGCTGAATCACGGCCTTGTCAGACGAATTTTAAGCACACACAGCACAGCTGCTGTCGCTTGAAGGCTGCCGTTGACAAGGAGGCGTTGAAAGTTGTACGGTGAACGGAAGGGAGACCAGTCCCTTGAAGAAGCGAAGGGTACCTGATGAAGTGATGGAAAGAGCCTGATTCCAAAAGGTTTGGCGGTGGGGGAGATAAAAAAAAGTTGGTTGTTGGTCGGAAGGAGCAGACGGATAAAATTCGAGGTCGAAATTTTATACGTGAACGGAAGGAAGGACCAAGTGAGTAAATGAAGACCTTAGACGCGAGAGCGACTCGGCCAGTGAATCGGTTGCCCGATGCAAGTGAACTGACGAACCAACTTTTTGTACCAAAAAGGCGGTGATTTAGCAAAGAAAATCGTAACGTGAGGACGCAGTCGGCGAGAAGAGGGAGGGGTGGGTGGTGATGGTGAATGTGAGGTTTAGCGCGAAAATCTCGTGGCCGAAGCGAGAAGAACGGATGAAGGAGATGGATCTCGTGACTCGAAAAGCTTTGGGTCTCGTTTTCTGGGGGTGAATCAGAGTGGGCGCATATTCGTTTCGAATAGCAAAATTCCACGGTATATTTCGCCGAGTTGAAGAAAAGGCATTTAGTCAAAATGAACAGGACGACGCAACAGAGCTGAGCCGAATACGCGATGGACCGTGGTATACAACGAGGAGAGAGAGCAACCTGATCTGCCACCTGCCTCCTCCGGGGTGCGATCAATACATTTCAGATGGAGATCTATTCAAATGGACTCTGCGGCTCGGCTGGTTGATAGCCTCTGGATGTAAGTGCTGCGGCGAGACGCCACTCCAGCCTCGAGAACTTCATTCGTCGATTAGCGTGACTTTCAAGCATGCGCAGAGGGTGACTTACTATGCTTTTCTTCTCTGGAGGCACGACGCCCTCTCTGATCCAGAAGCCCCAGCCGCCCATCAAGTTGGCCAGCATCATGTCCGTCGTCAAGCGATCACCGACGACCGCAATCTGGGATGGATGCGAGACGCCCGTCTCCGGATGGCTTTGGAAGTAGTCCATAATCTCGGAGCCGCAGCCGGGCTTCTTCGTCTTGTGTGGAAGAACAGTGATGCCGGTAGCCTCCTCAAGCTCCTTCGCCAGCTTGAGCGAAGTGTCATATGACGTTGCTCCGGCGGTGTTGGACACAATGACAAGGCGGCGGCCGGGGTATGCGGCCTTTAACTGCTCGAAGCGCTCCTTTATTTGGTCAGCGCAATTTCAAAAAAAATGAGCTACGATAATGTTTACTTTGTATGGTTTGTGAACTTCATTTGTGTGGGGAACAGCAAAGCAGTCGTCTTTGTCGAGAACAACTGCTCTAATATCGCATTTCCGGTTTTGTCCCTCAAAAGCTTTCTCAAAAGGAACAGGAAGGTCATTGAAGGTTGCTACGGTGTGATGAGGAAGACACAACGATGGTTTGAATAGCAACTTGAACACGTTGACGGTTCCCGACAGATTGAGATTCATGGTGAACTGAGTGCTAGGGCGGACTGGCTGGATGTGGTGGAGGAGAGTGACGTCGGGTCCGTTGGATTGGCAGAGACGGATGAAATTTGGCATGCAGAAGCTTGGGCCACCGGTTGCAGCTACCCCTGTCAGTCGATAAGATACAACCGCTGGGGATCCCTGTTCGATGGACAAGCCTGTGATGAGGCATCTGCCAGAGGTCATCTTTCGAAGGCTGGAATATCCACGGGTAACACAGTTAACATGTGATGGTTTGCATGGCTTCATGTAAGAGAGGTGCTGCGGTCCTCCTTGAAATCTCAAGCTGCTGAGATGCCGCCACTTTGCTTGCCTCCAGATATCAATGAGTAGTCCGGGGCAGCCCATTCGATTTGGGCAACAACTTGAGCATTCAACGCCACAAGGCTGTATGCTTTAAGCATAAGAAAGAAACCATATTTTCCAAAGACAACACCGAATGAGTTGTGACGTCTCCCTGGTGGTAGTGAAAGCCGGGCTGGGGGAACTTCAACGATGGAACTCAATTGGGGAATGTGACTCCACTTTAATTCTCCCTGTTGGACTTCACG